AACGATATTAATCTCCTCTAACGTTGCGTGGAGCAATAACGATACAAATGAAAATCCTGGATCAACTGAGAATGGGTTTCTTGAAATTCCTACCATAATTTCCGAAACTGTCGAATCAACGACAAATATTAATGCTAATCAAACGATATTAGAGTCGTCTAACGTTGCATTGAACAATAACGATACAAATGAACATTTTGATTCGACTGAGACTGAGTTTCTGGAGATTCCCACCGCAATTCCTGAGACTGCTGAATCAACGACAAATATTAATGCTAATCGAAGGATATTAAAGTCCTCTAACGTTGCATGGAGTAATAACGATACAAATGAAAATTTTGAATCAACTGAGACTGATTTTCTGGAAATTCCTACTGTAATTCCCGAAACTACTGAATCAACGACAAATATCAACGCTAATAAAATGCTAACAAAGCCTTCTAGTATTAGTGACCCAGTCAATAACATTATTTTTAACAAATATGCTCTATTGTCCGAAACTAAGGACACCGAAACTGTGAAGTTCGGCGATAGTAAAACATTATTTGGCACAACTAAATCGATAATAAACATCGAGAGAAATGAAAAAACAAAAGAGTTATCTAATGCTCGCAGTACAGTCAGTAGCAATGACGTATTCAAATATGCTTTATTATCTGAAGCTGCTTATATTGATGATGACCCATCAGCAATTCTGACAGATATCGAATTAATGCCAGATTTCGGTATTGATGAAACCGAGCCATTAGAATTATCTATCACTAGTGGAGCAACACGTAACAGCGGTGTTGAGATTAACGAAACCTCCATTATCCCTGAAGCAAAGACTAAGGGGGCAATTTCATTGAAAATCGACATCACCAATGTACTCGATGATGCTAATACATTTAATGAAACAGCCGCTGCTACAGATCGAATAATGGAACAAAATAAAAATGATATCTCGAGAATTACAAAATTAGCCGAAGTAAATGCAGGGACATCTACGATTACTACATCTTCTCCCAATGCGAATATAGAGACATCGGAAATCAGCACCACCAATGCACTTGATGATGTTAATGGATTTTATGAAACAATCGTTGGTTCAGATCGAAGGGCGGGGCAAAATAAAAATGATATGTCAAGAACAACAAAACCAGTTGAAGTTAGTGTAGATGCAGGAACATCTACGATTGCTACATCTACTCCCAATGCGAATGTAAAGAAATCGGAAATCAGCACCACCAATGCACCTGATGATGCTAATGGATTTTACGAAACAACCGCTGCTACAGATCGAATAATAGAACAAAATAAAAATTATATCTCGAGAATTACAAAATTAGCTGAAGTAAATGCAGGGACATCTACGATTGCTACATCTTCTCCCAATGCGAATATAGAGACATCAGAAATCAGAACTACCAATGCACCTGATGATGCTATTGGATTTTATGAAACAACCGCTACTACAGATCAAACAGTGGAGCAATATAAATATTATATCCCGAGAATAACGAAACCAGTTGAAGTTAGTGTAGATGCAGGAACATCTACGATTGCTACATCTACTCCCAATGCGAATGTAAAGAAATCGGAAATCAGCACCACCAATGCACTTGATGATGCTAATGGATTTTACGAAACAACCGCTGCTACAGATCGAATAATGGAACAAAATAAAAATTATATCTCGAGAATTACAAAATTAGCTGAAGTAAATGCAGGGACATCTACGATTGCTACATCTTCTCCCAATGCGAATATAGAGACATCAGAANTATAAATATTATATCCCGAGAATAACGAAACCAGTTGAAGTTGGGGTAGATGCAAAGGCATCAACGATTGCTACATCTACTCCCAATGCGAATGTTGAGTCATCGGAAATCAGCACCACCAATGCACCCGATGATGCTAATGGATTTTACGAAACAACCGTTGCTACAGATCGAATAATGGAACAAAATAAAAATTATATCTCGAGAATCACAAAATTAGCTGAAGTAAATGTAGGGACATCTACGATTGCTACATCTTCTCCCAATGCGAATATAGAGACATCGGAAAGCAGAACTACCAATGCACCTGATGATGCTAATGGATTTTATGAAACAATCGGTACTACAGATCGAATGGTGGGGCAAAATGAAAATGATATCTCGAGAACCATAGAACCAGTTAAAGTTGGGGTAGATGAAGGAATATCTACGGTCGTTATGTCAGTTCCAGACAAGGATGCATCACCAATGATCCCTATTCAAGCCGACAAAGCATCTGTCACCATCTTGGAGATACCGGTATCTGCAGACGAATCCGTGAAATACGTCGACGCTGAAATATCAGTTGGGACGACCAACACCAAAGAGCAGCCATCGAAGAACGAGACAAATGTAGACTTATCTTCAGACACTAAGGTAAATAAATCCGCTGGAGCAGCGAGAATTGAATTATCCTCGAATACACTTGAGCTTTTTTCACAAAGTAGTCTCGAAGGAAATTCCGGTTCCGAATCTACTACGAGAGGGTTTGTAATCCAGAGAAGGTCACTGTCATCTACATCAGTCCCAGGTGAAGCTGCCAGATAACAGACTCCAAATTCTACATGGACTACAAAATCTTACATGGAATTAGCAGTATATAATTAATTTACATTAAATTGAATAATTATTAAATAATTTCTTAACTATAATCGATACGCGCATTACATTAAGTGTTTTGTTGCTTTGCCTCTCGATGCAGTGGTGGTCCTTACAGTTGACAGAATGATAAGATACGTTTTGCCAAGCTACTTTATCGATAGAGTGTTGATAAGAGGAGCAGATTGCAGATTGATATTAACAGAAGAAAGTAGGTCGCCTTCTAAAAAGTGCATCGATCAACGTTATTTATTTAATATGGTCACGTGTAAAATTGTTTATTTATCTTTTTATTAATTTCGTTAAGTATTGTTTCATTTTAATTTGAAATTCGACTGGAATATCTCGATTGTACGAGAGGAGACTGAAGGCAAACTGATACTAAGGGGTATTAATAATCTAATCTTGTACATTCAATTAGAAGTAGGTTGCAGCTTCACTCTTGCATATCGCATATATGTATTGCGAAGAATAATTCATGTCTTCGGATCAATGTATTCATGAATAGACTGAATGACTGGGAATCAAGTTACAACGGACTCGTTTCTTGTCAATCATCATTGTATCATTCTTCGTGTTGCCTTTATCAATATCAAGGACGGTCAATGGCGGTCATCGTCAGAGAGCATAATTGGATAAAATATTTTAAATACAATTATCTTTGCTTAAGTAAACTTCTAAGATGTTCAAAAATTATCTTTTCACTTTCTTTCATAATCTTATATTACATATTTATATTACATTTTAGTTTTAAATTAGCTCAGGCTACAGAACAATTGATGAAGTATAACTGCTTGATCAGTTGTTCAGCCCCGATAATAAAACGATTGAAACAATTTTAAGTGATTTTCTAGGTAGCTATTCATTTACCTAGATATAATAATTATCAAGTGGTATTAATTTCCATCGGATCGTTTGAATTTTAAAAATGTCACAAAAATCAATTCCTGTTTCAGACTGCTAATCTTTCTCAAATTGTTTTCGAGCCCATAACATTTTTCCCTGATATTTTCAAGTCATAATGACCTCGAAATTCGTTTTCACGTTCCTTCACCTTTCCGACATCTACCACCAATTCTTGTAAAATAGGTTAATGACCTCCTATCATCGGTATCATTTCCGCGAAACCACTTTTAGTGCTCTATCTCTCCGAAAAAAATTCCGACCCCTGCAGCGCACGTCCGCCAGTGAAGCTCTAGATAACGTGAAACCTGAACAATTAAATTAAAAAAGAAAAACAGCGATAGACCCGCAATCAGCATAAAGTAGCAATTCCACATTTCCTGCAGAATTCCCCCAGGTACCTCGCCATCAAAGCCATTCAATTTCATTTCTACAGTATGCCACGTCCATCGCAAAAAATCCAGCACCCGATAATGCGAAAGACAAGCAATTAGTAAAAAAGGAAGCAAAATATTGTTGATAACAATACACGATCGGCACAAAATAGCATCTCTAGATTTTCTACATAATTCTGCTGATGCACCAACGATCCAAACTAAACCTTCCCTAGAAATTCCCTGCAGTATGCAACGTCCATTGCACAGAATCAAGCATCTGATAAGGCAAAACCCGAACAATGAAAAAGTAAGAAAGACCCACTGTCATAAAACAGCGAACCTCTTTCTACATAATTCCACCAAAAAAATTCTCATCATCTATCCAAGCCAGACCAACTCCCCCTCTTACTATATGCAAAATCCATCGCAGAGTCGAGCAGAAAGTGTGATATATACATACCAAAAAGTCAAAATATTTATAAAATTTTTCTCCAAACCGGGTGCACCAAATTATCTAAAACTTGAGCACGTGATCATGCAGGCTGTGAGGAAGAACGTACTGCCCCTGAAATTTCATTCTTCGAAAAAAAAAAATCTTTTTCTTGGTTCTTGTCCGAGGTTCTTTATCCGAGGTTATAAGGAAGGTCCCGATGCTCATGAAATTTCATTATTTTGTAATAAAAATTTTGAAAATATCTATAAACAAATTAAGAAGAAAAAATTTAATTCTTATGGGTTCCAGGACCTTCCTTGTAGACTCCATATTCACATTGTCAAGTTTGAAATGATTCGGTACACCTAGTTCGGAGAGGAAGTTTCAGAATCGAGACCTCTTTAACGCCACGTGCATATCACCTTAAACAGGAAGAAAAAGCAAAAGATCAGTGATGACCCTCGATCGGCATAAAATAAGGACCGTAGAAATTCTAGCAGAATCCATCGACCCAAACCAGTAAGACCCGGGGGCCTCCTCCTCTGCATGCAAAGTCCGCCCGCCCGGAGCCGAACACCTGATAACGCGAAACTCGAGCAAATAGAGGGAATACCAGCGTTAAGATAAAGCCCCGAGCTCCTTCCATGTCAGGGCTCGACCAACACGGATCCCGTGCAGATACTGACACCCGGTTGACGTCTTCTCCGCGAAGGTCTTCTCCGCGATCTTCCCTGCTTGTTTTCTCTCACAAAGTGCGCACCGCGGGAGGACACATGCTCGCCCGTGGACCCGTGCCGGATAACGCGGTATCGAGTGGTATCGAGTGCTATCGATACCAGCGTGCCTGCTAGGCTGATCATTCGCCAACTGCAGTCTCGTCCTATGACTACAGCTCGGATCACTGCGCTCTGGAGTCCCGAGCGAGGTGCACCTATGGACATCGTTCGAGTTTGGGTCCTCAATTGACCCCGCCGGCCATTGGTCATCTTCTTGGAGCCGCAGAAGAGCGACGTCCACCAGCGACTCAGCCGGGACCAGACCAGACCCACCACGTTCTATATGGTTCATGATCGATCGGATCATCTCGATTGCTGACGGTCGATGGTCGTGCACTTTTCGAAATCTGCGGATACAAAATGTGGAGATTAGTGCTTTTGTCGCTACTGGCGGTGGATTTCGGGCTCGTGGAGGTGAAGGGTAACTTCACGGTGAGTACTGAATTTCCATGGAGTTTTAACATAAGAATATGGGGTCTATTTTTGGACCGTAAACAACGAAATGGAGTCATGAACATACTGCACTGAAAAGTTATTGAGATAGGCTTTAATGTGCATTTTCAGATATTTTCATTTTAGTCCCACTCTTAACGGAGAATTTTTTTTCTTAGTTTGTTAGGTAGATTTAATAACAAAATAGTAATGCAGTTGGAGGGTAACTTCATGGTGAGTATGCAGTCTCCTGTTAAAACTCCATACCATGGAGTTTTAACATGAGAGCATGGAGTCTATTTTCAGACCGTAAACAACGATATGAAGTTATGAACATACTCTACTGAAAATTTATCGAGATAGGCTTTAATTTTTAGATATTTTCATTTTAGTCCCGCTCTTAACGGAGAATTTTTTTTCTTAGTTTGTTAGGTAGATTTAATAACAAAATAGTGATGCAGCTGGACTTTGTCGAAACAAACCTTGGTCACGGAGGACTATGCGTGTATTCGACCATGACCTTTGACAAACGTAAACAGAGTGGGGCAAGTTGGTTCCCCAATATGAAAAGCTTACTTTCGTCTTATAAATTAATTAACCAAGGGTACGATGAATATGACCTTGTATTGAATTTGGAATAGGGATCGACTACCTGAAAGCTGAATATTGGGAAATAATTATTGAAGTAATAATTATTGTAGTTAAGGGTTAATAGGAGGCAATCGGATGGGTTCGACAAATTTTATGGACGAATTCATGATTTTTCACTCTTAAGTGAGTTTTCAAAAGTTATTAAATTAGAATATATGTGATCGGCTGGAAACTTTGTTATGGCACAGAAACATTTCATATTAGCTAGGAGTAAGACGGAACACTTATCGGATTTGATATGTGGACCTCAAACATTAAATCAGATAGTATTGTTTACGGAGCTTGGTTTCTATGATAAGAGGCTTTTTAGACAACATCGCAATTTTATTCGTATAATTACATAATTTTTAAATATTGCCTCTGTGTATCAGTATCATTAAGAAATCGCACATTTCTAAGTCAGAGTGAAGTATCATAAAATATTTTTCAACTTTACCGCGCACCGAAGAGCTTTTATTTTTACTCCGTAGATTAGATAATTTCTAACATTTAACCTAACACGAGCCAATAATAAGTCTATTGAACACCTCACGGCCTACAACCTATAGATCACCTTTTTTATAGGCTTGTTTCTGTAGCAGGGATTTTTCTACATATCCAGTTTATTCGCAAGCGATAGTTTAACTTGACTTAAAGAAAATATTACCCGGACTTCACTTAATCACCTTAAGTATCTTATCTAATGTAAAGTAAACAATGCAACAGATCTGAAGTGTTTAGATTCCGAGATTATCTCGATTATCGATATCGATCTTGGAAACACGGCTATCGATAAATCTTGCCCATTCAACTCGCTCTTCGGACTGCAGATTTATCGAAGATGACGTTAAGGATTAATAAATCTGGAAAATTATGATTTTATCACTACGTAGAGCATTGATACTGTGCATAATTATCGCAGTGACCTTGAATATCGTAGCGAAGCTCTGGTACTCCCACAAAAGCGTGGATAAAGTCTTTAGATTGAAAAGGTAGAAGATCCCGGATCGATCATGGGGTTATTATTACGATTGATCACAGTTTGCAATTTCAGGACACACCGGCCAAATTGGGATTCGAAGTTGATTACGAGAACAATCAATTCCTGCTCGATGGCTTGCCATTCAGATACGTCGCCGGAAGTTTTCACTATTTTCGAACACCGAAACAGTATTGGAGAGACAGACTCAGGAAACTTAGGGCAGCTGGACTGAATGCCGTTTCCACGTAAGTTCTGTTAAACATAATTCATGTATACGGTATTTATCGATTAACACATTCACGACCGGTGACGTGAATTCACGTATTTTCAAGTTCTACTCCTGGTTGCCGCTGACGTGTATTAACGTCATATTAAATTCTATTCCTGATTACCGCTGACGCGAATCACGCCCATAACGATACACGATACAAGTTTGCGGCAACCAGTTTCAGAGTTTCATTATTTTCGCCGGTACTCGGTATTTGAAACGGAAAAAATTTGCCAGTCGGGAATGTGTTAATACCGCATATTTTTCTTATTTTCACCCCTCACCAGTGTAAGTATGAAAATAATTATCATGTCAATATCGTAGGTACGTGGAGTGGAGTCTTCATCAACCCGAGCCTGGTACCTGGCTTTGGTCAGGAAACGCTGACATAGTAGAATTTTTGAATATTGCCAAAGAAGAAGACTTGTATGTTTTATTGAGACCTGGTCCATACATCTGCGCGGAAAGAGATCTGGTAACGTCTTAAATTAGCATAATAATTTAATGAGTGCCTCTTGAAAGGATAAATGGAGTAGTAAATAGGAAATCGAGAGACTATAGACTATTACAACTATTCTGAATCTTAGGGAGGATTACCATATTGGTTGTTAAGGGATGTACCGGATATAAGGCTACGGTCGAGAGACACTCGTAAGCACTTTATCGTACAGTAAGTTTGGTACACACAGCGACTAAGTAAGATAGGTTGCATAACATTTCCATTCATGTCGATAGGTTACATGCATTATGTCGAGATATACTTAAACGAGGTACTGAGAAGAGTGAAGCCTTTCTTGAGAGGAAACGGCGGCCCCATTATCATGGTTCAGGTGACTATGTAATCTAATGCTTAACACATTCGGGACCGCTGACGTGAATTCACGTCTTTTTAAGTTCTACTCCTGGTTGCCGCTGACGTGAATTCACGTCATTTTTAATTCTATTCCTGATTGCCGCTGACGTGAATCACGTCCATAACGATACACGATACAAGTTTGCGGCAACCAGATAAAGAATTTCATTATTTTCGCCGGTACTCGGTATTTGAAACGGAAAAAATTTCCCAGTCGCGAATGTGTTAACTTAAAATCACTTAGCCTGCTTTATTACATAATTTCGATGGATGAAATATGAGATAAATGCATGTTCATAAGTATCCATTGTTTTTGCTCCGCAGGTAGAAAACGAGTATGGCAGCTATCATGCATGTGATTCTATATATATGCAACAATTAAGGGACATATTTAATAATAATGTGGGGAGCGATGCACTTTTATACACGACCGATGGTGCAACCAGTACTGCGTTGCGTTGTGGCGTTGTTCCTGGTGCCTATGTTACCGTTGACTTTGGAACATCCAGCAACGTGACTAAATCTTTCGAGATCATGAGACGTTTCCAACCACGTGTAAGATTTTAGTAACTTAACGTGAAGTAAAATTTTAAGGGTTACGCTAGGAATCTGTTGGGTCATAGGGTCCTTTGGTGAATTCGGAATTCTATCCTGGTTGGCTCTCTCACTGGGAAGAACCGTTCCAGACAGTCAAAACGCACACTGTGAAGAAGAAGCTTGATGAGATTTTGTCAAAAGGGGCCTCCGTTAACATTTACATGTTCTACGGGGGAACGAACTTCGGATTTACATCTGGTACGCAGAAAAGTGTCACAAGCCCCTAGGATTAATTTTCCAAATTTTCCGATTAATTTCAATGTCCTTAACGCATTCGCGACCGCTGACGTGATTTCACGTCTTTTCAAGTTCTATTCCTGGTTGCCGCTGACGTGAATTCACGTCATTTTAAATTCTATTCCTGGTTGCCGATGACGTGAATTCACGTCATTTTAAATTCTATTCCTGGTTGCCGCTGACGTGAATTCACGTCATTTTAAATTCTATTCCCGATTGCCGCTGACGTGAATCACGTCCACAACGATACGCGATACAAGTTTGCGGCAACCAGTTTCAGAATTTCATTATTTTCGCCGGTACTCGGTATTTGAAACGGAAAAAATATGCCGGTCGCGAATGTGTTAATTGACAGTATTACCGAATAATATGTTCAAATGTTAGCGGTGTAAAATTCAGAGCTCGCTATCGAATGAACAGCCTACCACGGAAGGTTCACGTGTACGATGTTATCTAGTAAATATTTAGATTCCACGATGACGAGTTTGTTTATTTTGCATCGACTCAGGTGCCAATGGTGACAGTGAGCAGTACAGTCCGCAATTAACGTCTTATGATTACGACGCCCCCCTGACCGAAGCTGGAGACCCAACTCACAAGTATTTCCAGATCCGAAATGTGATATCGAAGGTATTTAAAAAAATAAAAAACCAAAAATCGCACTTATAAAAAGGATATTTTCACGGTCTATGACATTGACTTATCGGGGAATCCGTGATTCCATTGCAGTACCTTCCCCTGCCAGCACTGCCGTTACCAACAATATCACCGAAAGGAGATTATGGAACCGTTTCGGTGTATCCAATCCTTCGACTCTTCAGTACAATAGCCATAAGGTTGTTCGGGACCAGTCCAGTCCAAGTGCACAGCCCTCCGACATTTGAATCGATAGGGATCAATCATTGGCTGGTCTTATACGAGACGACCTTGCCCAAAGCTGGTCCAGATCCTGGGATTCTGCAAGCAGACGTCAAGGACAGAGGTCTGATTTACGTGGCCGATCGTCTGGTAGGAACTCTTAGTCGTACTCGGAAGATCAACAGTATGCCTCTGGAAGGCGCCTATGGAAAGCCCCTGAAGATCCTGGTTGAAAACCAGGGTCACCTGAACTTTGGAAACGAAATCGAAGACTTCAAAGTACGTCCCCTTGAGGGTATCTCCCCTGAGAAAACAAAAAGAAAATAGTGTTAAGCGTCACCACTGCAACCTGTAAATTTATAGTCCTATGTTACCTCGCAGCTCGTAATAGCAATATTTAACTATATTTCTTTCTCTAGGTATTCCACGTAACCGATATATTATTTTCATTATTGTGCCTTTACCCGACATTCGACTTAGACATCCCCTACGCGATTTGCTGAAGAGGACCTAACAAGTTCAACCCTTTTCCACAGGGAGTCTCTAACGTGACGGTGAACGACGTGATCCTGTTTTCCTGGAACGTTACGGGATTTCGTCTCAATTCCCTCAGCCAACTGCGAGGGCTTCAGGACATCCAAGGAGAGGAAGAGATGCTACACGGAGGTCCTGTCTTCCTGCGTGGGAGTTTTACCGTCAGCGATACACCTCTGGACACTTACTTGGATACTTCAGGCTGGGGGAAAGGAATCGCCTTCGTAAATGGTCACAATCTTGGCAGATATTGGCCCTTGGCTGGGCCACAGATCACCTTATACGTCCCAGCTCCTTACCTGCGTAAAGGGCTGAACGAACTGGTGCTCCTGGAGCTAGAATACGTTCCAATCACCAGAAAAATCAAGTTCCAGCCAACCCCAAATCTGAACACGCTGCCCGAGACGGCAGATGAAGAAAACTTATTGGATGAGTCCTGAAAAAGGAACCATTTCAATGCTCAGAGCGCCATCTTGGATCGAGCGTGGTCGTAACGACGCACGAAAAAAATCACTTTGTGAAAAAGAAAAAAGAAATACCAAATAAATGAGGTTGATAGCGAAGAGTCCTCCCGTTCTCTTATTTTCTGACCATACAGGAGGACATTTACAGCGTGAAAAATTCCGCGATGTGTAGAGGCTTCGACCTGTGATATTCCGCATTGGGGGATCGATCAGCACATAATGGAGCGATATACAAACTCGTGGCCGCACAATATCGTCTGCCGGTACCCTGCGGCGTTTTGTACAGATCCCGAGGACTCAATAACGTTAATATCCCTCGGGTGACAAATGAGGGGCACGCCGCAGGACGTCCGGCGTCGATTAGTTCACCTCCGGAGGGCTTCCAAGGGATCGCCGTGGCGGCCATCTTGGATTCCACCCCAAACGGAAAGCTTCGTTTTAGAAATCCACCAAACCTACTCCTATGCCTTTTTGAAGGCACCATACGAACAGTTATATCCTAAGAATGATTTTCTACTCAAAAATATTCCCGAAGAAGAGACAATGTCGAAAGAGACTGATAATTCCTCCCAAAATGGTCCCGGGTGAAAGTGACGCGTTTCGCTCCGTCACGATGGGGGTGGAAGCTCTTAACGCTTGGCTATAATTAACCCTGTACAAAACATGTATGAATCGACCCTCGATTCGGAGCAATATTGAGGCGAACAGGCATGACTTTTTACTTTGTCGTCTATACACGTACGTTATACAACTTGCGCCGCTGAAAAGTTACTGGTACCGTCTGGTACTCTTTGCCGACGATAAGGTGCACCGTACAGAGAGGTACGGTACCACCATCGATTCTCCTTCTTTCCTTCTCTTTGACGTCCTTCTTTTCTTCCTTGCAATTCCTTCTACCAATGCCTCAGGCGGCGGGACTTTCATTTATAAAAAGAGGGAGTCGGCTTAGAACACGAATGCAGACGTAACAAGAAGTTCATTTCTTGGGCATCGTAATTATTCGAAACTCTTCGTAATGTTGAATTATTCCTCGTGTTATAAATAATAGGCAAGTGTAGAAACCAGAAATATACTTGTAATTTTTTCCGCTGATGCCGAAGAGAAATGTATGGAGGTGATAAGGTGTCTCGCACGTAAACCGGATAAGAATGCTTCCAATACACGTGAGGACCCGTCGAATGTATCATTAATCAAAAAAGGCTCCATGAGTCTCAAAATATGTGAAAGGTTGTACATATTATGCGATATTCCACCCCATTGCAAGAATGGAAACTCCGCCCTCGAGGACGACGCCGCCCCTGACATGCGCTCAGGTACCCTCCTGGCGAATCCCCTTTTTCACCTGTAATCGGTGTCTTAAAACTTCAAGTAACGTACAGAGAGCATGTCAGTGACAGTGCCTAGTTCGTAAATGGCCCTCGACATTGCCGCAATGTAAATAAAATTGTTTCCAAGTGACACATCCTTCGCAAACGGTTGTTAAACTGAAGTACCAAAATGGCGGGTGAGTTTCAAGCTAACGCGCGATAAGAAAATCACATTAAATCGTTCCAATGACCGAAATAACATTATTTTATTTCCCGGAGACTTAACGACTAATGAAGTATTATTAAACGTGGTTCGCTGTAATCTCCTTTACGTGAACTTATTAATAATTGCTTTAGCTATGAGAAGTGCATTACAAGAAGCGCCTTTGGATCTGAGCTGCCGTGGTGCAAGATCCAGAATTATAAACGAAACTCCGAAATATCCACGCAGACTGCCCTGTCAAACTTGTGGGAAAGACTTCGACAGACCATCTCTTCTGAGAAGACATTTAAGAACGCATACAGGTGTGTATTCAATTATTAATACCGCATCGTGATATCTTCACCGTTCGAACTGGGCAAGATTTGCTACGATTGATTGAAAATAAAAGTGACGGTTCTGTTTTCTCTGTAGGTGAAAAACCGCACGGCTGCACAGTTTGCGGAAAAATGTTCAGTACAAGCAGCTCTCTAAACACCCATTCGAGGATTCATACCGGCGAACGTCCCCATGAATGCCCAATTTGCGGGAAACGATTTACGGCATCATCCAACTTGTATTACCACAGGATGACGCATTACAAGGTTGAAGTCACGTATTAATTTTAAACTCGCTAAATGTAATCGATGGGAAAAAAAATTAATATAAGTATAATTATCTTTTAATTATTTCCCATGGTTATCGAAAAACGTGGGGTACCAAGACGGTGTTTTCTTAGGAACAAGAAAATGTAGAACAAATTTTTTTTTAAATGGTTGTGGCGATCTTAAAATCTGCTTGTATAAATGTAGAAAATTGAGAAATATCTGTCTAGGAGAAACCACACAAATGTCATGAATGTGGTCGATCGTTTCCAACTCCTGGGGACTTGAGAGCTCATGGATACTCTCATACTGGTAATTGGCCACTCCGGTGTCCTGTGTGTACCCGAGGATTCTGCAAACCTGCTGCTTTGCACCATCATGTCCAGTTACATACCGGTAATGCACGGAACAAATCGGTTTTACAAAATGCCTCATCGGTACAACTTGTAACTTTACTTGGTTACAGGTGACAGGCCTTATTCTTGCAAAACGTGTGATAAGAAATTCTCGGTTGCCAGCAACCTTCGAGCCCATGAGCGAACTCACTGCTCCGATTCCGTGAACGCATCTTCCGCAAGTACAATTTTACAAACCGAAAAGTTGGTAACGAGTAATGTCGATTTCAGTGCAGAGATTGGGTCGACCTTGCACGCCCCGGCTCCTATTTTCCCCTGGAGTCCCTGGTTACCACTTCAGTATCACAAGTGAAAAGTGATACACCGAACGCGATGAAATCTACGTCGCAAAATAGATCACGGAGCGTCTTAATGACTATTCGCAAAATGAACGTACTTAAATATCATATTTTATGGATAGTATTATTTTATTGGCTCGCAGCTCGCAGAGTAAAAAAATTAAACAATCATTTTTAGTACGAATATAACAGTACTTGTAGGATACTGAGAGAGCAGTAATACTTTAACCTACTCAGTGACGAATACAAAGAAGCCTGTTTTAATTATATATATCTTGACTTTTCTCAGTCGCTACATAAATTCTCGGCTTCTTTGACTCTTCCTCGAACTTAAAAATCTCTGCTCGCCTTCACTTTCCGAATATTTATCTCCTTAAACAGTAATGGAACTGGAACCTGTTTCTTCAAAAGCGCTCCCGGTCTCCTTTGTAATAACTTACTTATTATCACAAGCATCATTAGTCTTTTATATTATCGACTACTTCAATACCTTCTTGTACCTCGTTGGTCTCTTGTTTACTTCCTCCTTCTGACATCGTTTCTTCCGTTTTAACGATCGTCTTATCTGTTCTTCCGTCATCCTCCACTATCTTAACATTTTCAACGGTTTCAGAGTTTTCAACTTTCGTGTTAACTTCAGTCTTTTCATTGACTATACCTTTCACCTCGTCAACTTCTTTTTCAACGACTATCTTCTTCAAATCTGGGTTATCGTGTAAGTCTTTTATGTTCTCTTTACTTTCTTCGGCATCTTTCTCTGTCTCCTTAGTTCCTTCTGTATCTTCCTTTTTTTCATCCTCAACTTTTCTGCCTTCATCTTCCTGGGCTTCATGTGCTGCCGATTGAGCAGCCTGTGTCTGGGGGGATGTATCGCACTTGAGAATTTCACGTAGAGCCATTGTAGCATATGTGGAAGGCTTAAGAGACATCTCAACAATCAGTGCTTTGTATTTACCATCTACAAATGTGGAACAATACATTAATGATCACCTGTATTCATTATGAAAAATATAGTCAGTTTCCTTGTATCGATGTTGTACCTGGCTGATCTTTAGGCGGAGTCAATTTTCTCATTTCGTCAACATCACTCAAGATTAAATCGTCGTATTTAGACACATACCGCATAGTGTGCCATGACAAATTAGAGGGTATTTCCAATATTTTCCTGTATGCCCCTCTAAGTGTGTATTTTCTGCAACAAAACATATTAAAGACACCTTAAATCGAGCTCTGTTAAACATAATTTTAAAGAATGTGAATAATTCTTAGCATACTTATTCTTCTGTCGAAGATCAGTCGTCAATCCATCTTTGGCCAACATTTCGTCGACCCACTCTTTCGCGTAAGTAGGATAAGTAACAGCGTACCCTGGTTGCGGAATGACTACATCTGCCAAAGTATAATTTGGTAAGTCTTTCTCGGTTAAAACTTTTACAGCTGGAAGGGGATTCATCGTTTCTTTTTCAACTTCTAATGAAATATCATCCTGAGCACTTTTCTTGCAAGCTTCGATAGGCTTTACCTCGTCTTTGCTTCCACCGTCATCCGCCATCGAATCAAGTGAACTATCTTTAGAGACCACAACTTCTTCATTCTGTTCCTTAGTTTTTGTGCACTCGCTGACATCTCCAGGATTAATTGTCGCTGTTTCGTCTTCTTTTACTTTATGAACCATTTCATGGTCTTTATTTAACTCGTCTACGGATTCGTCCGGTAAATCAGCTTTGCGATTTTCTTTGTCTGTTTTAGTCGTTTCAGTGCCTTCATCATTGTTCTCGGTTTGTATTTCTTGACAAGATTGTCCACTTTCTTCTCCATTTTCAACATGAGGAAACTCCAAGGATTCGATTCCTTCCTTAAAGTTGGAATTCTCGTACACTAAATCGCCTACTATTGGTTTACGACCAAACTCTCTGATCCTCCTGGATACTATTTCATTCCAGACGAAACTTTGATACGCGTGGATATATATTAATCGCGTGTACCTAGGAATCCAATCTAATGCTCCTTGGGGATTATTAATCCCACAGCTGCAAAGTCCTTGGAGAAGCTTTGCTTCTATTTGGTCAGGACGACGAATTTTATCATATGCTGCCTGAGGATCTTTAGTTTTTTCAAATATTTCTCTAGCATTGATTAGCTCTCTCTGTTGCTCGCCTGCTCGAGGCTTCAGAATTAATTCAACAGCTTTATCCCAATTTCCTAATAAACAGAAAAAATGCATTGATGATATCACAGCTCTCTTTAACTTAGAAAATTAATAGCTAATGATTAGATCATAAAGTAAGAACAAAGGTAACTACAATTATTAATATTTATTACTTTGTAATAATGCTTTGCCAATTTCGTGTGTTGGAATGGCAGCCACGGTACCAAATCGCTGGAGGCCATAATAGTTAATAAAACCATTGTCTCGTAATGACGTCATTGCTTTCTCTATTTGTTCATCTGAACCCGTCACATTTCTGAGTGCAATTCTGAATCGATTCCCACTAAGTAATCCCAATCTTTGAGGTTCTTCACAAAATTTGAAGTTACCCACATAAGCACCTCGTATTGCTTTACCAGCTTGTAATATATTAACTGGATTAATCTTTTTTAAACTCACCCATTGGGTGGTTCTGGCTCTACGATCTTTAGTCCCAGCATAGTTAAATGTATTGACTTTGAGACCTAGATACATAGCCATTTGATTTAAGGCATCCATAGTATCCATGTTCACTTTGTGTAACATAAAATGACAATAAGAACCCCCACGGCGAGCCCAATCGATCATCTGATCGCTTCGAAATCGATGACCAGATGCAGATTTTTTGTCAGACTTTGTAATGACTATAATTTTCTGATCTTCCTGGTCGACAGTTTGACTTATGACATTTTGTATTTTTTTAGCAACTGTGTGAATGGCTCTACGTTGCTCTTTATCAATATTTGTTACATTTATTTCTACAGATGAAATGTTACTGTCTGCCTCCATCAATTGCTCGAGTTGATTCCAAGCGCTTGCTGGAATGTTTTTCTTTAAATCGTCCATATTTGCTAGTTCCTCCGGTGCAGGAGGTATGCTTTGATCAATCAACTTAGCAATCTCGTTATCAACAGAAATTTCATGTACATGAAAATCTGCATATCTCTCCTTTATCACACCGGAAAATCCTTCATGATCGCCAATGAACTCAGTGACTCCAATGTCGATCTCTTTAAGGCGATTCCCAACTTCTAACTTTGGACGCTTTCCATCTTTTTCATAATTCATCTGAGTTCTTTTATATCCTCGATTTCCTGAATAACTGGAATAGTATCCTGATTCAAAACGGAAAGCAAATGATGATCATTCTTAAGTCAACATTATACATTGGTGAGACATGTTTTAAAAAAGAAAAATAATTGTGCTGCTGAACATGTAACACCAACAAAAAGGTATATTATTCTTTTAATTCACCTCCTCGATTACCATATGATCTTCCTCCACCTGATGAATTCCAACCATCGCCTCTGCCTTTTCTTGAGAAATTCCTACGATTTCCCTGATATCTACGGCTCGCGTAGCTACTGGCACTGCCAGAGTCGGAATGACTTCTGCTGCCTTGTGTGGCATTATCACCATCATTCTGTCTATCTTTCGACTGATTGCGGCTGTGTGGCATTGTTTGTCACTAAAATTATTATTACATTATATGTTTTAAGAGATTCTAATAAGGAAAAGCACAATTTAGAAACAGGTAACTACGAACTGTAGCCTAGATCAAATTCATTTTTTCGGCACCTTCATAGAAACCTAGGAAATACTGTTACAAAGGCTTATTAACTTTAAAGTTTCAACCGGCAAAAGAAACCTTTAGTTTAATGACAATATTTTATACCAAATTTCAATACATTATATGTAACGTTGAAATTTTAATTACTGCCTACCTTTAATATCGTCTTCTATTATTTACTAAGGTATTCTTTTGTAAAATTTACTACGAACACGTTATTACAAAAGCCGGTTTCTTCTTTGTTACAGCCTGTTACAGCCAAAACCAAAAAAGAGCAGAGAGTATCTACCAGAGATGAGTTGGGAGATTGCTTACGGGCAGGATCGAGCGATCGCATCCTGTGCTGCCCTCTGGTTTCGTACGTTAGCTTTTACCGTTTTTTGTCCCCAAGGTCGGCGCAACGAATTTCTGATAGGAGCTCGCGGACTCGCGATGGCGATACCATCTACCAGTCGCCATTGGCGGCTCACGTACGCGTGATGGTAATACCATGCGGCAGTTGACGGTGGTGGCTTACCTACGCTTACCGATTCTGCTCGTTTTTGATGGTAAGGGAAGAACACTCATGACGCTCCATTTGACTTTATCTACTTATCTACTACTATTAAGTACATTGTTGCCTCGAAGTCGACGTGATGCGGAGCTTTGATTTGCGGAGTTGCCGCAGAGTGCCGGAGAGTTGCCGGAGAGTGCCGGAGAGTGCCGGAGAGTGCCGGAGAGTGCCGGAGAGGGCCGGAGAGTGCCGGAGAGTGCCACAGAGTTGCCGGAGAGTGCCGCAGAGTGACGGAGAGTGCCGCAGAGTTGCCGGAGAGGACCGGAGAGTTGCCGCAGAGTGCCGGAGAGTGCCGTAGAGTCCCGTAGAATCCCGCACAGTCCCGTAGAGTGCCCGTAGAGTGCCAGTAGCGTCCCGTAGAGTCCCGTAGAGTCCCGTAGAGTCCCGTAGAGTGCCCGTAGACTCCCATAGAGTCTCGTAGAGTCCCGTAGAGCCCCGAAGAGTCGCGAAGAGTGCCATAGAGTGCCCGTAGAGTGCTCGTAGAGACCCGTAGAGTCCCGTAGAGTCCCATAGAGTCCCGCAGAGTTCAGTAGAGTCCCGTAGAGTCCCGTAGAGTACCGTGGAGTGCCCGTAGAGTGCTCGTAGAGACCCGTAGAGTCCCGTAGAGTGCCCGTAGACTCCCATAGAGTCTCGTAGAGTCCCGTAGAGCCCCGAAGAGTCCCGTAGAGTGCCCGTAGAGTGCCAGTAGAGTCCCGTAGAGTCCCGTAGAGTACCGTGGAGTGCCCGTAGAGTGCTCGTAGAGACCCGTAGAGTCCCGTAGAGTCCCATAGAATCCCGTAGAGTCCCGCAGAGTCCCGTAGAGTCCCGCAGAGTGCCCGTAGAGTCCCGCACAGTCCCGTAGAGTCCCGTAGAGTTCCGCAGAGTCCCGTAGAGTCCCGTAGAGTGCCCGTAGAGTGCCAGTAGTGTCCC